TGCTCCAATCCCCCTACACCTGACCTGGCTGTAGTGGACCAGGGTTTCATGGGCATTGATGATGCCCTTTGACAACTAAGTTGGCTGACATGTAACAGCAAAGAAGCAGTACATGAAAGTGAGATGGTTTTCAAAATACCCCGATTGCTATCCCTGTGCTGCAGAAGTTCAGTTCTTCTGTGGCCATGATATATACTAGAGCTTTGCAGAAAGACTTAAGCAGAAGCTATAACTTGCTATCAGTTTTCATTTACCCATGTATCTCATTATCCATCCCATGTAATATAGGCCAGGTATAGACATTACATGAGCAGAAACCGGTCTATACCCATAACAAGTTTGGCACACAGACTGGTTTAGAAATGGTGGAAGCCGCTGTAAGATTTGCCCCCCTCCCACCAAAGGGTGAATGTATGTTCTGTTTGCTACTGATCTAAACTATGCTGCTTACAGGAAACTGCTTAACTTAGATCAGTTCTGCATCTGGCTTTTATAATTTCTGTATATAACCACCGAGTTTTTTTTTGTCAAAGTAGCAGTATTGACAGTTTGTCTAATTATCTTATCATCCTTTTGATGACTTTGCAACAGTTAAAATGATAAGGTACTCTAAAAGAGAAAATAATGAGCTTGATCATTAGCTGATTAGTTTTATTGAGCATTTTCTTATTAGCATTCCTTTAGCTAAGGTAGTTGGTGGCTTCATATTCTACGTTTACTCAGTCAATACAGCAAGGAAGCAAAACCAAGAAGTGGGTGACAGAAGAAATGTCTGCCTTGTTGTTTTTTAAAACCAAAGGAGCTTATTTCCAGATATTAAGGACTAGATTTTTTAAAGTTACTTGGGTATCTAAAAATGCAGATATGCACCAAGTGGGGTTTTCTTACGTGCATCTATAGGTATCAAGATATAGGTATAGGATAGCTACCTATATAGCTTTAAAAATTAGCTGTCAGTCCCTACTTTGTACCAGAACCTGTAAATATTCACAGACTGGGTTCTTACTCTGGTATAAAATTAGTGGGACTCAGACTTGCTGGATAAAAAGATACTAAATTAAAACTATTATTTTAAAATTTAAATCATTATACTAAAAGGTCAGCATTTTATTTACATGTTGCTGGCTCTTTCTCCTGTTCCTGATTATACTTTTTTAAATTACTAAAGTGATCTTTGTATCTTTTTTCTTTATTTTTCTAATTATAGAAGCTTGAGGGTCTGGACATACATTTGGAACACTTTCAAATGGGGAATAATTCAAAAGGGCAGCAACTGGTATATTCTAAATGTTGTGTGTGAACAAGCCACAAACAATACAAATATAGCTGGACCACTCTAACTTTAAACATGAATGAAGAAGTGTTAAATTGCAGCAGTTTTGCTACATTTGTACAGTTCTCTGCTTGTTCATCTATAACAATTAGAGTAGAACACCTGCTTCTGTTTTGAAATTTTCCCCTTTTGAAAGAGCTCTAAATGTACGTGTCCACACACCTAGATTTTACAAACATTTTACAAACAAGCTTTTTCTATTAAAAAAATTCACATTGAAAATACTTCTCTTCATGCAAAAGACACATTTGTGGCCTCATTAATACCATTATTATGGGAATTTTGTGATTCATTCCTATCATGCCCTTAATTGAATATGTGGCGAGGTACTCCCTTGTGGCTGGTAGCCCTGCAAGCTGGGAACCTGCAGTTAACACCTGACAGGTCTCGCAGTCATGGCAGCTTGTTATATTTCACCAGGGGGAGCCTAGGATCATGATCCCAGACTCCCTCTGCACAGGCAATAAGGTAAGTTTGTGTGGACTGTGCATCAGATCCTATCACACCTTGACCTGAACATCTGACAGGGGCCTTAGAGAAGTATGTGCAATGATGGCAAGGTCTCTTTCCTTCTGCTTATACTTTCTTATACTATACTTATACTCCCAAGTCTCAGATGTGCTTTTGAAAATCCTATTCTTTCCTTACTCAATCCAGGTTTATAGGCTTAACTTTAGGCCTCTAATTTTGACTCATTTCTTTTCATAGTTTATATTATGTGTGTGTGTGTGTGTGTGTGTATGTGTATATACACATGCACAATATAGAATAGCCATATGCACAAACACATTCAAGTATGTTGTTACTATACTGAAACTCTACACAATTTGTTTTTAGTGGAGATACTAGTAAAAAATTCAAGAGGATTTTAAGTCCAAATGCTTAGCACAACTTTAACTTCAAGCCTGAGTTACCTGCATTGAAATCAATAGCTACCTATACATGTGCTCGGGGGGGGCAGTGGTTGACACAGTGTATAGGTTGACCCCTAGTTTTCTGATGCGAAAAGTTAGGATTTTCATAGGCACGGTGTGTAAGTTAGGGCCAGGCTTGGCTGGCGCTGCCTGCGCTATGCCGGCCAAACACTGAGCCCAGTCCTGTCCCCTGTGAGTGGCACTGGGCTCGGTGCTTGGTGGCACTGCTCGCAGTAGACAGGGCCAGGCTTAGGACTCAGTTGGTGTAGCCCCATCCCCTGCAAGCCCAGCACTGCTCACAGGGGATGGGGCTGCACTAGGCAAGCACCAAACTCAGCCCCGTCTCTGTCCCCCGTGAGCATCCCCAACCGATTGCCAAGCCCATGCCCATCCCTGTCCCCATTCCCTGTGAGTGGCACTGGGTTCGGCACTCGGCTGGGGGAGTGCCGCTCACAGAGCTTGGGGATGGGAATGGGGCTAGGCTTGGCTCTCAGCTAGCACAGCCCCATCCTCTCTGAGCGGCACTGGGCTTGCAGGGGTTGGGGCCCTGCCAACTGAGCACTGAGCCTGGTCCCATCTCCTGTGAGCTGCGCAGCTCAGTGCTGAATCTTGCAGGTGCCACTTGCAGGGAATGTGGCTGGGCTCAGCCCTTGGCTGGTGCGGCCTCATTACCTGTGAGCAGCACTGGGCTCGGTGCTCAGCTGATGCAGCTCCATCCCTTGTGAGCGGCACTGGTGTGGTCCAGGCAGCGCCATTCATAGGGGATGCGGCCATGCCAGCTGAGCACCAAGCCCAGCCCCATCCCCATCCCCTGTGAGTGGCGCTAAGCTGAGCACTCAGCTGGTGCAACCCCATCTCCTGCGAACAGCCCTGCCTGGCCCATGCAAGCCAAATGCCAAGCCTGGCACCTTTCACAGGGTACAGTGGTGTATAAGTTGAGGTTTAATTTTAAGAGTTAAAAATTGGGCTTCAGACTTTGACTTATGCACCAGGAAATACAGTATACTTCCACTTAATTGACTTGTAAGATAATGGCTTTGTTGTGTCATATTTTGATATTTCCCTGTAGCAGTTTTACATGTCCAATATGAGGCCCTTTATGGAATTGGATTTTTAGAAAGCAGCATTTATAATTTAGTTCATTATGAATTTTAATGTAAAGTTGCAGCTCTGAGAGCTGCTCTAATTAAAGCACCTAGAATGTCACATGTATCAGCATCCCCGTGCTGAAAAATGGCAGCAGGGGCACTTTAACTAAAGCTCGGTGAATGAGTTTTAGTTAAAGCACCCCACTGCCATTTTTCAGCACAGGGATGCTGATGCAGATGATTCTGGAGTCATGCTCCAGAAGACTCGAATAATCAACTGTAATTACATTGCGTCAGAGTAGTCTCACTGTATGTCTATAGGCACCCTAATTTTAGATCCCAGAAATGTAGCCAAATGCCTACAGTGGCCCAGGTCAGAAGCTGGGGGGCACTAGAGCACACCTCCTTGTTCAGCTGGAGCAGACAGCTAGAATGTGGAGGAGATCAGGGACAGACATTCAATAAACCGAAATCAATTAAGTCTGATACTGCATCCATCCAGGCTTACCTTAAACCAGCTTCAGCCATTTTGAAAGCAGTTTATGTGCACTGAACTTCTGGGCTAGGGACAGAAGTTTCACATAAGTTGAAGTGATCTGAAACTGTCTTAAACCTGTAACAGAACAGAAGTTCAGTGTGCATAAACCAGTTTCAAAATGGCTGAAACTGGTTTAAGATAAACCTGGTTGAATGTAGTATCAGACTTAACTGATTTGAGTCAAACCGGTTTATGCAACATCTGTCCCAGACCCCTTCCTAGTTTAAATTAAATCAGAGTCCCCCAGCATCCCAGCATTCATCTCATCCCTGGGTTGCTCCAACAGAGAAGGGCAGTCCTTCCCTCCCCACAACCCCCAGGCAAACCCCAGCTGGGGTCTGGGGCCAGGGAGGGGAGTTAAACCCCGCTTCCCCTGATTACAGAGCTGCCCTACCATGCTAAACTTACTGAAAGTTATTGCTGGCTGCGACTATGGACTACAAGTCCCAAAGGCACCTGGAAGCAGGAAGAGGAAATGATGAGCAACCCTGCAGAGTCCTGCTTCTGTGATTCTGGACTGCAAATCCCAGAGACTTTGGGGGCAGCAGGAAGAGGAAGCGAACACAGAGCCCATGCTGGCTTTGTGCCAGACAGCAATGCTCTAGCACCCCCTGGTTCTGGCCTGAACCACTGCAGGCATGTGACTGCATTTCCTTAATCAAAGGTAAAAGTGTGTCCAGTTGTTTCTCAGTTTAATCTTTGCAGTTTAGACTAACCTGTAAAGATTGAATCAATTCAGCTTCGGGTTTTTTGACTGTCTGTACTTAGTCCTGTTGTGTTACAGATTTGAACAGATCTGTGTGTAATTTCTGTCCCAAGCCACAATGTTCATAAAATGAAGCAATAAGAAGTCTTCCTATCAATGGTGTATTCTTCCTTGATTCTCAAAGCCCTCTACAAAGATTAAGTCAGTTTATGAAAGCCCCTCTCTGGTGAAGGAGTCATTATCCTACCAATCTTACTGATGGAGAAACTAAAATAGAATCTTTATGAAACAGCTTTTTAGAAATGCTGCACTAGGTTTTTGGTACCATTAAAAACTCAGTAAACAACAATTGATATCCTAGCAGTAATAAGCCATTTGATTCATGAACATGCATTTTTTAAGATGCAAGTTAATTAGGAATTTTTGACTGATTTGTCAGAGGCAGTGACTTTTGTCTTTCTAGCTAAATTAAATATGCCTACTCATAGGTAACAATGATGATTATAGCCATGAGTGAAAAGACTGGGGAATCAGGAGGGGGAGTTGGAAGGGAGACAGGCGAGGAGATGTGGAGGGAGTCCTTTGTGTGGTTGTGATGGCTACAGGTGAAGGTAATGGACGTATGGGCATACCTGTGTGCAGGTGAACAGTACAATCTTTGTAATGGAAATAGGGATGGTGTCACTGTAAAAGTGTGTTTTGAACTGCCCAGTAAGCCATAGCAGTCATGAGACAAGTTTGTAGGGGCATAGGTATACACAAACACACACATACATATATTTTTTTGCAATATACATACACCTACATACATACATACATATACATATACATATATATTGGAAGGGAATTGGAAGGGAATCAAGATTTTTGTATTGCAAAAAAAAATCTTGATTCAGTTGGTCCCTGAAAATCATTATAGCCACTGTGCTTTTGTGTTCTCAAGTTACATTGTTTTGACAGATCTTTAATAGCTCTAGCCTCACCAGGTATGCGTGGGGCACTCAACGACTTGTATCCCTTTTGCCTGAGTTCCTGTATCTGAAATCACAGCCACAGTGAATTGGACAGAGGAGTGCTGCCTGGAGACTTGTACACAAATGCTTCCTTTTTTGTTTTTAGTCAGTGGCCAGCATTTTAAATATTCTCAGTAAATTGTTACTAACAACAGGGGGAAAAAATCCAAAAGATGCACTGTGTAGAATGAGACAGGTGAATTGTGAAGACGTCCCTTGAATCAAGGGAGCTTGAGCCTATGTTTCCCTAGTGCTGTTACTGTTCCTTTGAACTATTCCTGTAAAGATGACAACCTTACAAATCTGATGTAAACACCTGATCCTGCCTGCTAAATGGACATATGCAGCATGCATGCAGCTAGATGCACAGTATGGGGCAACTTGCCGGCCACTGTAAATCTGTGGAGGCAAGGCCATCACTTCCTATGACAGCTGTTCCAGCTGTTGCTGTAGACTCCTAAACTGGAATTGCACTGTCCAGGGAAAGGGAGAAAGTGTTGCCACTCTGGCAAATTCAAGAGACTGGAGAAGTTTGCTGTATTGCCAACCCCACCATGTCAAAAATCAAGAGACAAACTTAAAAAACAGGAGATTTGGTATGTAAATCATGAGATGCTCTCTTCTAACGCTCCTCCCCGGGCTTCTGGCACATGTGCCCTGAGTAGCTCCCCTGCCCATTGCGGCCCCGGGCTTAGTCCTGACCTGGCAAGGCTCCCTGCAGCCCTGCGTGGCTGGGCCCTACCTGGACTTTGTTCCCAATCAGGCTCCTGGGGACTTTGTGACCAGTTCTGGCCTGGTTGGGTGTAAGATACACCAGAAGAAAAAACCTGGAGATCTGAGAGTTCTATCATGAGTCAGACTTAATTTTACTTTAGAAATCATGGCTCTCATGATAAGTTGGCGAGAGTTGGCATTACTGAGTTTGTAGGAGTGCTGCTAAACAGTAGGCCTGAAGCCATCTTGAAGCTCAAAGGACCCAGGGTGTGGATCTTGTAAGGATTACAAAGGGCTTTGTCAGCAGCCTGTTAAATCAAGCAGCCTGCCAGTTAAGCAAATGGCAAATCATGCAATTTAAATTAAGTCAGAGAAAGGCCTAGGCCTCAGGGACAAATATTAGATGGGGTCTTAGTAAAGAATCAAAGATTTACATTAGTGCTTTGAAATGTAGATGTCCAAAAAATAAGCATGTTGTCTCTTTGTGGAGTGTGTTTTGGAATTACAGGCCTGTGCTGTGCTTTTCATAATCTAGAAGACAGGGAGGGTAGATTGATACAAACAACCTTGTTGATGTAGCCATAAAATGAAGAAAGCAAGCTTGAAAGGTTTTAAAGAGAATGCCTTGTCTGCAGGTAGTAGGGAGAACTTTTCTCTCTAAATCTGTCAATTCACAAGGCCATCCAAATGGGCTTAATAAATATTTTCCCAGGGCCACTTAAGAACCTGTTCCCACCGGTTCCTTACAGTCTTGAGAAATGAGGAAAGTCAAAGGGACCAATTAAAGGCTGTTAGTCAGAAGCAACAGTGTGCCCATAGGACTAATCAAATGCAGGCGCATAGCTCAGGGGGGGCAAAGGAGGCACCAACTATGATGGGGCACCAGGATCCCACTTGCCAGGAGTCTGCAGTGGCAGGGGAAGCTCTGCAATGCCTCTGCCCAGCCATAGGATCTGGACATCACAGCGCTGCAGTCAGTAGCATATTCAGGGAGTGGAGGGTGAGGAGGAAACAGGCCAGTGGCTGCCTCAACAGCTCCACAGCCAGAGACCCCACCACAAGGAGCAGCCAGCTGTTTCAGCTCCTCCCTGGAGGGGGCCCCTGGCTGGGCATTGACGCAACGGGCACTATGGGCTGAAAGCACTGGGTGCAGCTGGTTGCTGTCACTGATGGGGAGGCCTGTGCCGAGCCACCAGCCTCACTAGCCCTGGCCATATGATAAGTCCTGTACTGGGGGGAGGGCCATCCTAGCCCTGCCCCTGCTCCTGGCCCCAACCTGCCTGCACTCCCCTGGCTGTGGGTTCCCCCCATAGCATGCAGAGAGGTTCAAAACTTTGTTGAGAAGCTCATGTCCCCATTGCTTGCCAAGCATGGGCCTCTCACCCCCCCGAGGAAGGCGTTTATGCTAGCGGCACTGTCCTCTGTTTCTAAGGTTTCTGTTCTGAGGTTTGCATCATTACATGTGCAGCTGGGCCTTCCATCCACTTTCATTTTTGGATGTGAAGTAAGAGGAGGACTGCATGTGTTAGATCCCCACAGCTCAGCATTTCAGTGAAATGTTTTCTGGTTGGAGCTTCACAGCTAGGATGGAGAAGAAACTGGTTCCCTGTCATTATCATCTCTTTATTTGGTACAAATGATTTTTGAAGGTGTGGGTGGGTGTGGGTTTGTGGGGGAGTTGTGAAGGAGTGTGGGAGGTGTGGAAGGGTGTGGGATTTGTGGGGAGGGTTGTGAAGGGATGTGGGGGATGTGGGAATGTGTGTGGGGTTTGTGGGTGGGTGTGGGGTTCGGCCAGCAGCTCAGCAGCAGCAGGCAGAGGGCGCTTATGGCTGTGGCAGGCATAGCCCCAACAGCATATGCCTTTGGCTGAGTCCCAGGGCCTGCACATGCTGGCATGGACCCGGCTTGGCCCACTGGTGCCTGCTTTCAAACCAAACTGGATTGGCTTCATGGCAGCATGTGGGGCTTGCAGCACTGCAGGCGGGAGCCGTGCACCATTGGGCTGGGTAGGTTCTGTGTCAGCATGTGAGGCTTGTGGTACTCCAGTGGGAAGCTGCCCATGGAGGCACAGAGCACATCTGACCCAGCAGTGTGCAACTCCGTGCCTCCATAAGTGGTTTCCCACCTGGCCTAATGGTGTGTGGCTTCCAGTCTACACGCCATTGGGTTGGGCCAGCCCTCCATGTAGGGCATCTCATGGACACCTCCCTACTCCCTCAGATCCCGCCCCCCCCCAATCTACCCTGCACTTGCCCTGCTGGATCTTCCCGCAGCTTCCAACCCCCACACCCCCCAGCCCTAGCAACCACCTGCACTCGCATCCACCCCACAGGGCCCCTCTAGCCCTGCTGATACCCCCTATCCCTGACCCACAGCCCCTCCAGTTGGTCCCCAGCCCCCTGCAAGCCCCACTTACCTAAAAGGCTCCAGGAGGGAAAGTGAGCCTGTGCCAAGTCCTGGCTGACTGAGTCTCAGGCCCTGCCCCCTCCCCCATTCTCTCTCTCCCTTGGGGCAGGACTTAGGGTTTGCCACCCTTTTTGCAAGAAGCTCTTGCAGGCTGCAACTCTGCCATCCTGCACAGAGCTCTTTGCAAAAGTGGAAAATTTGCAGGTATCTGTGTTAAAATGAAAAATCTACTTTTGTTTCTGTTAAAAGAGAAAATCCATGGTTTTTTCCATGTTTCTATGGGACATGGAAAGCCAGGCTCCCTGATTATATGAAAAGTATTATATGTTCTTTGGCTGTATCTGAATTGGCTTGTCCTCTGATCTGTCACCTCTCTTACCAGAGAATCCCATAGCTTCCATCATAGCTACATATAGGTTTCCTGCTGATCCCCCATTTTTATCCCTTTAGCTTCCTCTTTCTATAGACATGACTTGGGCAACTGAAAAATAATACAAAATTCTGGAGGCACAATTGCAGGTCTGAAGATGACTCCCCTCTTGTCCCTACTATTTTGCCCACACTTACAAATCATTTTTCCTACGTTATATTCCATATAGTTAATAATCGCTTCTTTGTGGAGACGTGAAAGAGGTTTTAGGTGTTCCAAGACTGAGGCTTGAGTCAATGCAGTTCACATGCTGATCTGGTTTATTTGTTTGTTTGTTTTACTCTGGGTATCTAATGTTGTCACTAAGACTATTTTTTTGTTAAGAAAACTTGACACTGTCTGCTTGTGTGATGATAATGGCTACTTAACCCTTTGGCCACTCTGGTACCCTGATTCTAGCCAATACCAAGATGTATGTTGGTAGTAAGGCTACAGTATAGACATAGGAACTTGAAAGAGAGTCTCCCAACCTGCCCCCTGAATTGGCAAAAGAGGGGAATGAATGCATTTTTTAAAAACAAAAACAGAGACATTTTCAAGTTATTTCTGCCCAGAAACCATGACACATTCATATATATGAGAGATATTTATATGTATTTATATATATATATATATATATATATATAT